ATTTTCCTTTATTTTTGAAATCGGATTTGGTTTTTTGCTGTTTTTTTGTTTTTTTGCAAGAACAAGAAAATATCAACGACATTTTAGTTATGAAATCGAAAATTATTTTTATACACAAACTTTTACTTAGAATTCCATTGCATTTTGCTCGTGCTAATGTTTCGTAAGTAGTTTCTCCAAATTACGCGTGAAGTAATTTTTCAGTTTCTACGATCTTAAGTTTTGATAATCATCTTGGGAAGAAACGAATTGGCGAATTACTGTTCTTTAGTTTGGATTTTCCCAAATATATATATGTTACTCTTAATCTCAGGACTCAGTCACTGACCAAAAAAAAAAATTTCGCGATTTGATCACGTCTACGCCGCAACGAAATGCTATTTCGGTGTTTTTGCAAATGATTTTGCTCAAATTGCGAAACGTAAGATACCAAATAAGCAAAGAACGAAACAGAAAAAAAACATAAATAAATGAGACAGATGTTTAAGTTTTTGTGTCAAATGATTTAAACAAATTACAGTTCAGGATCTTCTGTAGCTCCAAGCACAATTTGCATAAACAATGAAGTAGTATTTTATTCCGGCCTTTCATAATTTTGTCATGTTCAAATAGGCGAAATGATGATTTTTTTTGGTCAATGACCGAATTCTGAAATTGAGCGTAACATATACACGATATAATTATATTAAGATGAGGTCAAAGCAGTAATCAAATGGGCAGAACATCCTGAACCTATTTCGAAACCGTTATAAGGTAGAGCGTGGCCCAGTGGTAGTGTGCCGAACTGCGGATCCGAGGTTCCGTAGTTCGCGCCCCTTTACTCCCCCCCCCAAATAAAATCGTTATAATAGTGACCGTACAATTTTACTGTTACTATTAACGTAGATATCCCTTGACTAGCTGCGCGCAAAGTTCAACAAAACAACAATAACAAGCGGAACCATTATGGATAAACTGAGGGTGTCCTTAAAATAAATGGCCCGGCATAGCCAGGTGGTTAGGGCGCTCGACTCGCAATCTGCGGGTCGCGGATTCGAATCCCCGTTACAACAAACATGCTCGCCCTTTCAGCCGTGGGGGCGTTATAATGTGACGGTCAATCCCACTATTCGTTGGCAGTGGGTGGTGATGACTAGTTGCCTTCCCTCTAGTTTTACACTGCTAAATTAGGGACGGCTAGCGCAGATAGCCCTCGTGTAGCGTTGCGCGAATTCAAAACAAACTAACAAACAAACAAAACCTTAAATAATATAGGATGAAAACTTTATTTCGAAAAGAAAAAAAAACGTGCGTCATTTGATAGTCTTTTAAGTTTCTGTCTTAGCATCAGCAAAATGTGAAAACCCGAATGTATA